GAGTTCATCTGCAAGGGAGAATCTTTTTATTGCTGATTTCATTCTCTTGTCAATCGTTTTTTATACTACTTCTTCCTGTAAAAACATCATCTTTCTTCAAAATGTCATCTGATATATTGAGTTGCTATATCTCCAACCGCGCACGTAGTCCAGGGTACTATTCCCGACCTATGCACTCCTGAACCTCCCTTAGCCAGTAGTAAGCCCGGTGAAGAGTGCAGTTTGAATGTGACCTCCTTAATAAATAAACACTACTGCTACAAGAACTTCAAAGTTCAAGCTTAAAGCCCTATTGTGGCATGTGCTACTGATAAGATATATCAGTAGTAATATATAAAGCGAAATTTGGGCTACCGATATCCATGCTGAAAATCCCATACTTGTACTGAAAATACGGTGTGGCATCAAGCTGTAATTAAAATAATAATAATAACATACAATTGGAATTTGTCAATAATTGATTTGAGTGGGCCGTTCTCGCATTAGTGCTAATCTCTTTTATTGACTCTGGCATTCCCGTTAACTCCAATTCTAGTCTAAGAAGATAAACTAACGCTGTCAAAAGATACAACATGTCTTCTTTTGTATCAATACATGCAGATCAATAATGGACACCAAATAGGCTTGAGGAAATGCAGAAATTTTAAACAGTGAAAACATCAAAAATGCCAAGGAACTCTAAGAAGCCTGTTAACCGGACAAATCGGGGATTAACAGACATTATTGTACGTCAAATTTATCACTTAATAAAGAGTAGGTGAAATTCTAAGTCATTAATAAAGCAAAATTAAAAACCAATCATGATAAAAGTTGTCAGAAGTTACAATTATATCACTAGTTAGGTCGAATTCAAGTAAGTTCACATCATTAATGAAGTGTGCGCTGATTGTGTTGTCTAGATAGATAATGAACGCTTCACAGTTGAACTACATCAAAATGACCCACCTGAATCACGAATATTCCCGATTAATTTGAAATAGGATTCAACTATCAAACATATTATAATGAAAATCAATTGAAGAGCTAATATCATTAGCAGACAATTTGATACCAAATTAACTCCCAATTCGAGACACATTTACAGTATGCTTCCTACAAGTTGGTGAGGATTTTAACCGAGGGTTGGAGGCAGTCGGCAGGAAGCCCTAGATTTCGTTGGCACTCATCAGCAAGGAGTATCTGCAACCTCGAAGGGACTCATGTCCCTTCAGAATTTCAAACCCACGTCACCCAGTGCTGCAGTCAGAGACGTTACCACTGAGGTATTCAGACTCTCGATTGACCTCCTGTAGGACTGTATTGGATATTTTTGATTGGACACTAGTCAGTTACTAAACAAGCAATTAAACAAGCTGTTTAAGATCTGTAATTTGTAACTTTTGTAAATTAGTCGCGTGTAATGCAGTTGTTATCAGATATCATTGCGAATTTATTGTCCTGAATAAAATTATCCGTAAACGTCGACCTCTGAAATCCATCAAAATAAGGAGATGTAGTTGTCGATTAATCACCGGATCTCAGTAGTTCCGGATCATAGGCTAGTTAATCATAAAATCTAATTTCATACCAATCAAATCCCCACTATCGCATAAGATTCCAGTATTAGACATATTCCCTCCGCGTATTGCAGACAAATACTAGTTCATAGTTAATATTTAACTGAAACTTTAGGTAATGTATAGTGTTCATATATTGTATCTCTTAAACATTCTCTTCGGCCCGATGAATTAACATTATGTAAAACTGTCCATTATTGGAAATAGTTTCAAATAATTTTTATTAGAATAGCAGAAGGTAATACGTGACCACACTTGTCGCTGTATCAAATACTTCACACTGAAGGTGGTCCCAACATCTTGGTGCTGGCGTCTTTGTTTGCTTGTCTTACTGTATCCATTTCCGGAGCTCGCTGACGTTCATCCGCTTCTCTTTATTTGCATTTCAGATCGTATATACCTTACCCCTTCTCGCGGTGACCATGTATGGTCCTTCCCACTTTGGAAGCACTTTCCGTGACCCTGGCGAGTATTCGCCGGTGTTTCGCCTCACATTATCATCTACTGCCTTCGCCCGACTTCTCAGCAGCGTTCCAAGTAAAAGCGTCTTCTCTAACAGATCTTGAATGTCATTCAACTCCGCAACAGCCTTGAAGTCCTGCCAGAAGATCAATATACCTCCTTCTTCAAAAACTGCAGGCCATAGGCTTTGCATTTGTCAACAGGCAGAGACACTAAGTGTAACCTCCGAAGGCAAGTCATGGAAACCAAGATATATTTTTCACTGATTAAACCGCTATTCATATGTATACAGTTTAGATTCTTTAACCAATGACTTGAGCATGTGATCTCGGTTTACATCAAACGACATGAAATATTATGTTCAAACATATATAGCATTCTGTTGATAATGCAGTATTGAACTATGTGAACTATGTAACGATAATATTCCGTTGGCACACATTGTCTGTATCACATCACCATAATATGAAGTTCATTAAACCCTCATTATATAATATGAATTCAAATAACAATCATAATTAGTCACGTACTGATATTTTTTTCTTTATTTTGAAGTTTCAGTGACTTGACATGTCACTGAAATCATTTCCAACAGGCTACTGCCCACTTTCATCAACAGCCACCTTCACTGGATCCATAATGAAGATTAGATGGCCAGTCAAAAAGGATAAGCGATAGGTAACTCTGGCAGGCATCGAACTGACGAACAACCTATTGCCTCAAAAATACGCAGAAGAAAATGGGGAAGGATTGAATATACACCGAGAAGATTTGCAAGTGACATTGCGTGCAGGGCAGGCCTTTCGAGTAGAACGTGAATGGAAAACGACGAGTTGGATGTTGGTCTGAGGGTTACATAGAGGTGATCTTATGGGAAGGGAATAAAAGCTTATGGGCAGTCGCAGAGCCATATGAAGGCGACTTCAGAGAACAGGGTGAAATGGAGATGCGATGTTGACGCCCTATGTTTCACTTCGAGTCCAAGGGAATAATACTAAAACACACTGACATTACTACTTATAGTTCACTCAGGTCAACTAATAATGGTGAAGATATTTGTCTGACTGTACAGCAAAAAGGAATTATATTGATTTTATTAATCATTGTATTGAGGTCATACTTTCAGGTAGTTAATTCCTCGTAACAAGTAGAAACACAGGGTGATTTACAGAAACTATATAAACTTCTCTTAACTTGAATTTACTAGACCGTAATGCTAGGCCTCTATTGGAATGTCTTGAGGCATGTTTCGCCCCCTTCTGGGCTCATCAGCTAGATATGCCTGGATCTCACTGTTAATAATGGTGATTCATGCTTACTGGTATGTAGAGGCATTCACCACCAGACTAGTTCCAAGTATGACAAAATGTGTGTCCTGGATTTATGAAACTGAATAAGAACCTTAAATGACAACTTCGTTCAAGCCTATCTTAGGGTAATAAGATTCCGTTTCATAATATTAACAATACATCAATAATACTTCGGCTAAACAATAGGTAGTAACTAGTGTAGTGCGTGTTTATTCCTTTGTTTGGTGCAGACTGAATTCTATCAGTCAAGTTTGCATTTTGGCCACGATGCTAGGCGGTTCACCATTACGATATACTCCGAGTTGTTGATGTTAGATAGTTGGAGGTAATCGTCAGGAAGTCTTGGATCTAAGTTTGGTGCTTTTTGACACTCAACAGTCATCAAGGCGTGTCTGAAATCTCTCAAGAACTTATGTCCCTTCTAAGATTCGAATCCGTATCACCTAGTGCTACAACAGTCAGAGGACTAGACACATGGTACTAGTTACTTAGTATCTAATGTCCAATCTAAATATCCAATGCAGTCCTACAGGAGATCAGTCGCGAAACCGAATAGCTCAGACGTCATGTTTCTGACTACAGCACTGGGTGACATGGGTTCGAGTCTCAGAAGGGATATGCATTCCTTCAAGACTGCAGATACACCTTGCTGACTGGTGACTTCCAACAAGCACGAAAGCAATATACAAGGCTGGGCTTCCTTTCGATTACTTCCAACCATCCATCCATAACTTGTAATAATCACATTCATATTTTATTATATTTATATTAAATTCCGTCTAGCATTGATTATGTATTCCCAATAAGTTTCCGTCTAAAATTCTGTTATCAGGCGAATTAATTCATTAGTGTGTATGAGTAGAACAAAGCTTATTTCCAATAGTATAATACATAATAAAAACGCTACCTTGTTATTCACTACTACAGTTTCTACAGTCTTATTATTATTATTATTATTATTATTATCGTTGTTGTTGTTGTTTTTCTCTAACTTTCCTCGTTGACGTCAATCCCTTATGACTGACTGACTGGTTAGACTGATTGAATGACTGCCTATACGGGAAGAAAGAAGACATATTTCAAAATACCTCCCAAAAAATACACTTTATTCTCATTAGTATTTCAAGGCCAGTTAACTAACTAACTAACACCCACGTAAGAAACAAATCATGCCTAATTCAAATTACATTCATTACATTCTATCTAAAGATTAAACTAAGTTTTATTATTATTATTATTTTCCATATTATCCAATCAGGAACTAGAACCAGTATTTTGATCTGAGATTGGATAAAAGTTTCAAGGTCAAAACTTCAACCTATTGCCTTGATCATATAATCGTGATTATGACTTCGTCTTAATTTCTGATCGTATTCAAGTAGATCCGTATTGTGTGTGTAGTTCACATTTTAAAGAACTTATTATCGCCGATTTATTTTCATAAAAAAAGTATATGTTTAGCAAACAGGCTGATAATTAGTGAAATATTCATTTTGAGAAATATCCCATAAATATATATGTATGTACATAAAATCAGCGATCAATATTGACATTTCCTTCCCAATCTGATGTTTGTATAACTACATAGGAATATTTTATTATTCTACATAGAGACGAAATATTCAAGTATTATATATAATTAAAATTTATTGAAGAATATCCAAGAGAGAAGATGAATACACGTTCAAGTGTACGACGTAATTCAGGACTTTTAAAGTTGGATAGTGGTTCCAAGGTAAGTAGTTCGCCCCCAAGAGTATTAATTTAAATCGCCCTTCCTCCTTATTATTTTCAATATATGTATATAAACATATTTTATGACAAGGTTTACTATTGATCTGATCTCGATGCGTCCATGAGGGCCCTCTATAGTATTGATTATACATATAAGACTTTTGAGTTTAATCATACCTGGATTCGAAGTATTACTGTACTTTAGTGTTCGAAGATGAAGTCATTTTACTGGTTAAATTCCTTTGCTTTCCAAGCGAAACAAAGGACTTCAAGTTTTTAGTCTTTGGAGTTTCAGTAGTTCTGTTGGTGTCGTTACCTTTTACTACGTGGGGTTGGTAGGTTCATACAATCAATCTCCCTTCTTTACTGGGCTTACTGTCGGCTAAGCGAGGTTTAAGACTGGGTTGAACCGGAATCGAACCTGGACAACGTGTGTAGTTGGCAAGTACTGTATTACTGAACCAATGATGCAATGACATCATCACATATTTCGGTAGTTCCCCTGGAGGGGGGAATCAGTGTCATATTCCTAATCTTTAGTGTTGGCTCTGACTAGATTATGTTAAATCTCACTTGTCATGTTTCACTATTTTATGTTAAAGGTTATAGTATCTCAGTGGTAATGTTTATAAATGTTAGTCAAGTAGGTAGAATATATACTGTCTTGTGTAATAGCTTACCACACTATGAAGATGCGAAGATATATTCGAATTCGTGGTTTTTTAGAAGTATCCCTTGAAATTAAAAAGCGTATAATCGGCAGTCAAATAATATAGTATAGCTATAGCTGTCATGCGTGAACGCTGCTGACCATGCACATGGTCCGGGGTTCGATCCCTGCCGACGCACTCCTTTACCTCGCTAAGCCAGAAATAATGCTGGTGAAGAGGAAAGGTTGGGCATGAGGCTGGCAATCCCATCCTGTAAAAATAAACACTGCTTCAGAATTCAAGCTATAGTGAAGCCGAAATACCTTCATAGAACTCTCCAATGAATACATGTAATTGATATTATAATATTAGTGTAATTTAAATATTATCCCTCACCCATGTCAAATATTCTTATACCAAATGATCACTAGTATAATTCAAGTCAGGATCTTTTTCTATGAAGTTACATAAATCAGGACTGAAACCTCATTCACGACTGAATAATATCAGTAGGTGAATGAGCGATGATAAGCAACAGTCTTGCTAAGTTAACAAATTGACATCCAACGGGCAGGAATGCACCAATGTGACTTTGAAACGCTCAGTCAAAGTAGGGTAGTGAAACCAGGTTAACAAAACTATATTCCTAAGAAAGGTTGTTGAAGTGTAAGACATTAAACAGGATGCATGGTTAGTATTAACGCGTTAGGGAAAGATTAAGATTAGGGTTAGGCTAGGAATAGATTCCTAGGAGATATTAGGGTTGGTTAGGGATAAATGAGCTTTAGGTAAAGGGAATATTACGATTATTCTTGAGTCAGGAACTCAAATTTACTTTCTAAACGCAACTATTTGTATTAAGGCTATTATAATGTGCTTTCGCATCAGTCGGGTACCTATTTTTTAACTTTGTCAGCTGTATAAATCACAAATTCTTAGTACATAATCATAGTCTCTCAATTGTGTTTACAATACGGTCTCTCAACTAAGAGAAACAATAGTATTATGTACTGTAAATTTGATGTACTTTTTTTTATTCAATTTAAAATAAATTTTAGTCATTATTTTGTCTGGCATTGAAGTTGAAACTAAGTTGAATCTTAAATATTTGGGATTATGTCTTTTCTTCGATTTTTTCCTTTGCGTCCCATATCCTTGTTGATTTCTAACCGTCTGCATAAAGAAGTTAGCTTAATCTGCTATCACTCAGCCTCTACTTTTACGATTTGTTAGTTATTGTATTGTAACTACCCTTCTTTATTGCTCTCCCTCTTAATCTTTTCATAATCTGAACATCCTCTTTTATTCACAAGTTTCCTGTTGTATCTCATCTGACAGAACTAGAAGCAATTAAATATAGAAACTTAATGATACCTTATTTGGTACACATTTTATATTGACGAGAAAAGTGTTGGGCATGAAATTACTCACTCACGGTGGTGGGACAGTAAACAGAAGGCTCTTTTTATTCTTGTCGTTAATATGTTGTGTTGTCACTATTTTTAAGCCTAACCATATAATGAAAAGAGAAAATTTAGATGCAGCATTGTACTACATGCTGAGAATTCAACATAGTACTAGAAGTACTGTTTGGAATAAAGCGATTATTATTATTATTATTATTATTATTAATTATTATTATTATTGTTATCATTCCAATGTAGACAGGGAAAAGATTCGCTTTCTTTGCAAAGAAATACACTCTGAAGAGAATAAAATGTTTAAGTTAATATCTGAAGATATTACTTCATAGTGGTAGTGTTGTTAGCTACAGTAGCAGGTGAAACAATTTTGAGCCTTAGGAGGGTCATCACTTAAGGATACGCCTTACTAGAGAGTGCCAATAAGCATGAAATCCAAGCTCAAGACTTCGTTAGGATATTTTTTTGATTACAGCTTGATTCCACACCTTAATTTTTGGAATTTTCAGCATGGATATCGATAGCCCAAATTTTGCAGGCCAACCATAGATATCAGGTGTGCGTCGGCAGGAGATCGAACCCCGAACCATGTGCATGGCCGGCGAGAGTCCTAACCACTGTGCCACCGACGTACATCACAATTCGTAAAATGCTGAAGACTGTCAGTAGAATGAGTGGTGTGTCCCCTTGGACCACATAGCTAACGTCGTTGTCGATAGGCACTTGACTTCGTGCAATAAATTTGCTAAAGGGATTTTGTCTGACTTGGAGCATCCAATTTACCCTCAGCTTTTTCACCTTGCATCTCCTCAGGTAGAAAAAGAAGTAACTTCAGAAAACTGTATGCTCGCACGTCTAAGTATAAAAATTCTATGATACCATACTTGGCACGTATTTTATGTGACGAAAATAGTGTCAGGCAAGAATTAACTAACCTTTTTTCATCTAGTAAATAAACAATTTCCTCCATCCATCCATCCTTATATACCTTCAAGTTTTACTTTTATTATTTCTGTTATATTTATGGTCCTGTTGCTTCTTTGTTTTCACTTTCATAACTGCAAACACCAACTTATCTCTATGACTGCTGTAATCTTTGTTTTTTCCCTCACCATATCATGTAAAGAGAACATTATATTCAATATTTTTAAACATGCTAGGATTTCTATACCGCATCGACAATACTGTGTGAAACAAGCCCACGGAAATTTTCACTTGTATTATTATCATTACCTTAGCTGTTATTATTATTATTATTATTTCCATTTTATATGCTGCATGCTTTTTTTTACATTACCCGTATTGTAAATGTGGAAAATTTTTCTGTGTGATTAATTTTATTTATAATTTGAGGAAATTAGATGCAATATTATTGTGATTAATGCTGAAAATTCCATTCTGTATCACAATACTGTTTTTGGAATAAAGTAAATTATTATTATTATTGTATCCTTTAATTCCTAGAAGAACATAGGGCTTCAGCCGTGCGTCTCCATTGCGTTCGGTTCTCTGCTAGAGTCTTCACATGGCTCCAAGTCTGCTCACACGTTTTCATCTCCTCTTCACATGACCTCCTCCAAGTCACCCTTGCACTAACGACCAACTCGCCACTTCCCGTTCGGGTTCTACTCGAGAGCTTGTCGTGTGATGTCACTTGATGGTTTGTTGTCTCAGAGTATGGCCAATCCATCTCCATTTCTTTCTGCCTATTTGTTTCACAATTGGTTCCTGGTTGGTTCGCTCCCAGAGATCTCTATTGCTGATCTTTTCTGGCCATGTGATCTTGAGTATTGAGCGAAGACAACTGTTAATGAAGGTCTGTAGTTTGTTTGAGATGCTCTTTATGACGTGCCAAGTCTCTGATTCGTATAGTGAGTAGCACTGACTTCACATTGGAGTTGAAAATCCGGATCTTATATTATATTATTACTATCCATCTGAAACATTCTAAATTTCAATATGACGTAGTAAATATTTGTATATATTTTAAATTTGTTTAAATAATCTGATGAAGTTAAGTGGGAACTGAAATTATCACTAAATTACAACTGTCAAACTGACTTATTTCCTTGGTATACCATCATCATCCAAATTGGGAGATTCAGATGATAAATGATTCTTATTTATTAATTTACAAATTGAGTGGATTTGGATCAAATTTGCAGATCGCAATTTACACACTTCTAGAAGGTGGAATTTCACCACGATTTCCTTTGTAAATCGAAACTATTCAGATCCCAATATGTGTAATGTGTCTGATACCACAAATGGCAATCAAGAAATCAAGCATAAATGTTGCATGATGCTCTAGCAACCACTACTGATTGATGTGAACAGTATCTAACTACTCAAATCTATGAATCAGTAGTATGTAGCACCATAGAGTTGATTCACTAGTCAGCACTATTTTCGGTCAACTTCTGATGACATGCTTTTTGCTTTTTTTCTCAGTGATCCAAGTTTACCTCCTGCCTACTACACTTTACTAGAACAAGTTTCGATTAGATCTTTGTGGTTAAATGTGTTAAGATAACTAAATGCGTTTTGTAGTAAATTTATGCATATACACACAAATACACACTCACCTGACTATTAAAAGCGTGTAGTACCTGTCTCAAGGTCACTTTAACTTAATTTTTTCTTTTGATATGACGTTGATATATATAAAGGTATAGTTGTCCAAAGCCGTGCCTAGTTTGTGTATATGTGTGACTATGAGATGGCTAAATGGCCAACATCTAAATGAATTCCGTTGGATTTCTTCTCTGTTTATCATAAATACGTCGAAACAACAGAGATAGAGAGAGAGGGGGGGGGCAGACAACGTTTAAAAACAGACCAACTCTTTAACTGCTTGCCATAGACTCCTGTTTGATTGATGTGAGAAGCATCTGACTACTGATATCAACCATTAAGTAGGTATTGGTTGT